CTCTGGTGGTATACAATGTAGAGTCACCCCACTCATGTCTTCATACATGTACTTAGGGTAATGAGGTCCATCTCATTCCACCATATTTCCTATCCCCAGTACCCCTCCTTTCCCCTCCCTCCCCTTTGCCTTATCTAAAATTCCTCCTTTCCTCCCATGCTCCCCCACCCCCATTATGAATCAGCATCCACATATCAGAGAAAACATTTGGCCTTTGGTTTTTTGATATTGGCTTACTTCACTTAAAATAATATTCTCCAAATTCATTCTGCAAATGCCATGATTTTAATCTCAATTTTAAAAATTATTTCATTTTATTTATTCTAATTTGCTATATATGATAGAATGCAATTCAATTCATATTACACAAACAGAGCATAATTTTTCATATCTCTGGTTGTACACAAAGTCACACCATTCATGTTTTCATATATATACTTAGGGTAAGGATGTCCATCTCATTTCACCATCTTTCCTACCCCCATGCCCCCTCCCTTCCCTTCCCTCCCCTTTGCCTTATCTAAAGTTTGTCTGTTCCTCTCATTCTCCCCCTCATCCGCCTTATGAATCAGCCTCCTTATATCAGAGAAGACATTCAGCATTTGTTTCTTTGGGATTGGCTTACTTAACTTAGCATTATATTCTCCAACTCCACTCATTTACCTGTAAATACCATGATATATATATCATGATATATATATATATATATATATATATATAATCACTTTTTCTTTATTCATTCATCTACTGAAGGTTATCTAGGTCGGATCCACAATTTAGTTATTGTGAATTGTGCTGCTATAAACTTTGATATGGCTGTGTCCCTGTAGTATGCTGTTTTTTATTTCTTTGGGTATAAACCAAGGAGAGTGAGATAGCTGGGTCAAATTCCCAGTTTTCCAAGGAATCTCCATACAGCTTTCCAGATTGGTTGCACCAATTTGCAGTCCCACCAGCAATGTAAGAGTGTGCCCTTTTCCCCACATCCTCGTCAACACTTATTGTTGTTTGTATTCCCTTTTTTAAAAATACTTTTAAATTTATTTTTTCTTCTAATTTGTCATATATGACAGTAGAATGCATTACATTCATAATACACATATAGAGCATATTTTTTCATATCTCTGGTTGTATACAAAGTATAGTCACACCACTCATGTCTTCACACATGTACTTGGTGGAAAGAGATGTGCTGAGGGCCATTACCAAGTAGGAATGATGCATCAAAATTTCCTTGCCAAGCGTACCCCATGCTGCTTAGAGGACATTTGATGGAACATTGCATGCATGCTTTAATAAGGTGACCTTGCTCAAGGACCAAGGCGGATCCAGGTTTAGAGCTGATCAGGTTTGAGGAAGTAACCGGCTCCTTGAGTTTAAGGCGTTGCCAGTTTAAGATAATGGGTTTTAGGGAAGTTGGAGATTGAAGATTATTGCTGGGATTAGGGTGTTCCTGCTTCTTGTTGAGTTCTCATGAGATTAAAATGGGATTTGGAGATAGCCTCGTGGAGTAGGTGAATTGTGCGGGAGATGGCAGAACGCGATTGCCCCTGGACCTCTGTGGAGGCGGTGTGAGAGCTGGAATAAAGAATTGCTGTTTGAACCTACAAAGGTGTGTGGTGGCTCGTGAATCCTGTGCCAAGCCCAGACCTTGGCAGAGATGCATATTCATTCCACCATCTTTTGTACTCCCATGCCCCCTCCCACCCCTTTGCCCTATCTGGAGTTCATTTAATCCTCCCATGCTCTCCCTCCCAACCCCACTATGAATCAGCCTCCTTATATTAGAGAAAATATTCAGCATTTGGTTTTTTGGGATTGGCTAACTTCACTTAGCATTATATTTTTTCATTCCATCTATTTATCTGCAAATGCCATGATTTTATTCTATTTTATTGCTGAGTAATATTCCATTGTGTATATATAACACATTTTCTTTTTCCATTCATCTACTGAAGGGCATCTAGGTTGGTTCCACAGTTTAGCTATTGTGAATTGTGCTGCTATAAATATCGATGTGGCTGTGTCCCTATAGTATGCTGTTTTTAAGTTCTTCAGGTATAAATGAGGAATAGGCTAACTGGGTCAAATGGTGGTTCCATTCCCAGTTTTCCAAGGAATATCCATACTGCTTTCCAGATTGGCTGCACCAATTTGCAGTACCATCAGCAATTATGAGTGTGCCTTTTTCCCCACATCCTCGCCACACTTATTGTTGTTTGTATTCTTAATAGCTGTCATTCTGACTGGAATGAGATGAAATATTGGAGTAGTTTTGATTTGTATTTCTCTAATTGCTAGAGATGTTGAACATTTTTCATATATTTGTTGATTGATTGTACATCATCTTCTGAGAAGTGTCTGTTCAGTTCCTTGACCCATTTATTGATTGGATTATTTGTTTCTTTGGTGTTAAGATTTTTGAGTTCTTTAAGATTTTTGAGTTCTTTATATATCCTAGATATTAGTGCTCTATCTGATGTGCATGTGGTAAAGATTTGCTCTCATTCTGTAGGCTCTCTATTCACTTTTGCTGAGAAAAAGCTTTTGTGTTTGAATCCATCCCATTTATTGATTCTTGGTTTTAATTCTTGCTCTATAGGAGTCTTATTAAGGAAGTTGGGGCCTAATCCAACATGATGGAGGTTTGGGCCTACTTTTTCTTCTACTAGGTGCAGGGTCTCTGGTTTAATTCCTAGGTCTTTGATCCACTTTGAGTTGAGTTTTGTGCATGGTGACAGATAGGAGTTTAATTTCATTTTATTGTATATGAATTTCCAGTTTTCCCAGCACCATTTGTTGAAGATGCTATGTTTTCTCCAATATATGTTTTTGGAGCCATTGTCTAATGTAAGATGCTTATATTTATGTCAGTTTTTCTCTGTGCCTTCTATTCTGTACCATTGGTCTACCAGTCTATTTTGGTGCCAATACCATGCTGGTTTTGTTACTGTAGCTCTATAATTTAAGAAGTAGTATGGTTTAAGTTCTGTTACACTGATGCCATCTGCTTCACTCTTCTTGCAAAGGATTGCTTTAGCTACTCTGGGTCTCTAATTTTTCCAGATGAATTTCATGACTGCTTTTTCTATTTCTATGAGGAATGTTATTGGGATTTTTATCAATCTCATTTTTCTTATCTCGCCTTACATATTACTTCTTCTGACCCTACAGGCTGTATCTCACTCGCCACTGCATACTGTTATACCACTTTGTGGCACATCTGTGATTCATAACTTTCAAATTTATTTTGTGATGTGGCAATATCATTCATGTACTTTATAATGTATTATCCAGGAAATTAGGATTAGTATGTTTGTTTTCTAACTACTAAATTCCATAAAACCTAAAACAATGCCTGGAACATTATAAATTATAATTATCAATCAAGGGAGTCAATTATTGAATGAATGGCTTTATCTAATTGTGATTTTTAGAATATCTACAAAATTCCTAAATCACTCACAGGAATCCTAACATGAAATTTAAGCCTGCACATAACCAGAAAAAAATTTCAATATTAAATGTTCTTTGTTCTCAGTTAAGTTCAAGCCCATGAGTCCTTTTGCATAAAAGTAAGGAGATTGGTGAGGATGCATATCTGAATAAAAGTCCCCCTTACTGCTGTTAGATGTGAGTTGTAATTTTCCCTAAAAAATCAATTTTAGAACATTTCTATTGATTTTGAAAGTTACTCTTTCAAAAAAAAAAAAAAAACATGCTCTTTGTTGCTCCCCAATCTCACCCATTCAATAGCAATTGCACAAGTTAATAGAGAAGTTGGTACAAGGTTTAACACTAAGGGAAATCTATTCCCCACTCCATTCTACAATAAGTATACTGTAAGAGAAGATAATAGGTGGTAGTTTGTAAAAGGAATGACTGTCATCTGATGTATAATGCTAACCATGCTAAAAGCTACAGTAAAATCAATGGTAAAATTTCCCCAAATTTATCACCCAGAGCTGTGTCAAGGTGAAGTCAGCCTGAAACATTGAGCCAGTAAGGGAACAGTGATTTCATTCTTGATTCAGGGAGTTCATTGTTTATATAAATAGCAAATGCAAGAATATTCAAAGGTACCCAGTCTTTCATGTCCTCTGTGTAGAGTAACACCTAGATAAAAGGGATCTGATGACCGCATCAAGGATGGTAAATTACCCTGTTGGTGAGAACCCACTTTAACCCATTAAGCATTTTCCTAGCCTGTAACTGTAAAGGGAGTGATGTAGCAAACCTCACTACCTCATCAGAATCCAGGAGGCAATGAGAAACTGACTGGTGACAGTTTGTTTGGGAAGTTAGGGAGGCAATTGAGAAATGTTCTGACAGCAGCTCCTCATGAACCTCCACACTGTTACATTGTGGCAAGTTCATGGGGCTTTCTCCTAAGTCTTATGTCAGCTGCAGTTAGGCCACACCTATGTGTCTCCAATGTGGAGGCATGCAAGTTTGCTAGAGTGCCATGCTATAGTAATTTCCCTACAAATTAATAAACAGAATCCTCTCCAAATTTGTAGACTCTTTGCATTATGCCATATTTTATACTATAGAGGTAAAGATTAAAGGGGAATTGGCATATTTTCTTTATTCTTTCTTTAAATCAAATATTCCTCTGAAACATGTGAATTTGAACTTCAAATTTTATTTTCAACCATGGCTTTAGGTATTTTTTAAATTGTTATTTTTTTCTCCACGTAAACAAAACCAAATGACATGACTATGAATTTGGCTAAACATTAGCAAACAATGTACTAAGAATTTTGTACAAAAATGCATAGATGATTTCCTGTGGAGCACTGTTACAAAATCTAATATTTGGCATATTATACATACATTTGGGTGGTAAGTTTAGATTTTAGAGGCTGTATCAAGACTTCAACAGCCTCTATATCTTTTGTAAAAGTAAATATATTTAGAGTCTAGGGGTGTAAGCACATGTTCTACACTGAATAAAATACTTCTTGCCTTTTTAAATAAACTATTTTCTTTTATTATAGAAACCAAATTAATATCACTCTGAAATTTACCAGTCGCTTCCTCCATCCTGCTGAAGCTTCACTGCTCTTAATTTCTAAATCTAAGTGTGGAATAGGAGGCGTTACAATGACTTTTGCTCTAAAGGGTGAAGTCCTTGATTTTAAAGCAATTGTAAGTAAATTTTACTTATTTTTGTATATCCTTGCTTCTGTTCCCCAACCTTGGCATGTCATGACCATAGATGTTCTTCCATGTTTTATTTCTATGTAGTTCTTGATCCTTGAGATCTTCCTTTTGCTCTGAAGACTTGTGATATAAGTGAAAGCAGCTCTGGGCCTGTGTTTATGGGTTTTTTTAGACTAAGGGTGGAGAGTTTATGCATCAAAAAAATATTCTTATTTTCTCTGACAGGAACGTTATCAATTTGTCTGGACTGTCTTGTGGAACAAATCCATTATAAAAGTTAATGCTAATGCTGGCATTTATTGAAAGGTGATGATGTTCTTAACAGAGTTCAAAGTGTTTATACCTCAAAGGATGGGGGAGAATGATTTTTAAATTTTTATAAAATGGCTGTGACATTGTTATGATTGCATTTCTTAACCATTATCTTATTTTCTACCATGGATATATGGTAAAGAACAAGCAAATTTATTATTGCCAGATTGTCCTATGGATTACAAAGAATTTGGGGGATGCAAAATAAGATTGGGAAAAAGACACTCACTCTAGGAGGCTTAATTAGTGGCAAGTTGTGTGTGGAGAACAAGAAGTTGCTCACATGGACAGACAGGCTTATTAGACAGTGATGACCAGAACAGGAAGTGGGCATTTGTCACCAAGATATATGTTCTTGTCTTCTGATTTCCTTTTAAATAATGAATGTTTAATACTTCCCAACTCTCTCACATAAATTCTCTGAAACAGCATAATGCTTTGCATATGTAGTTAAAGCCATGGCTAGTTTTAGCCTGTCATTAATGTTACCTCAGGGGAGAAAAGCTGGCACTTGAAGGTCGTGAAACTCTGGTTACTTCCCCATGTGTTCACTATGCTCTTAGAAAACTTAGAAATAAATTAGATAATAATGTAGAAATAAAATAGGCCAAGAACATAATCAGCTTAAAAATGTAAAATTTCCAGAAAATTCTACTTTGTGAGATTCCCTTGGATAATTTGGAGTTTTTATTTTGTATATGTGCTTTTATTACAATATAAATGTAAGTGTTGCCACCACATTATAAATGCAGACATGTCATACTCACATATAGTCTTATACACAGATATTTATCCCCACATGCACATCCACAGCACAGCTATCTCTGCCTTATGGAGCCATATATATAAATGTGTGTGTGTGTGTGTGTGTGTGTGTGTGTGTGTGTGTGTCTGATTATTTGAAAATAGAAACCATGTCCAGTCATTAACAAACCAATTTTAAAGAGATCAGTTTGAGAAACACTGCTTTGACAAATGGTTTAATTTTAGCATAGTACTATGGATCAGTATTGAGATTAAATATAATTTTATCCTTTCTACCCAGATTTTAGCAGTATAATATTTATGGGATAAGGAGAATTTAATAAATTAGTGTCAGTTTAATATGTAAATGGACAATTTGTAGATTTTTAACTTCATATTATATATAGTTAAGGGATTTTTGACATTATCATATAGTATGCTTTATTTCTTTTTACTTTAGGAAATTCTGAAATGCAAAACTCCATGTTATCAATGGAAGAAAGTTACTATAAATGTGAAAAACCCCTTCCCGACTGCTGGAGACTTTAGGTAAGTTATTGGTGGGTGTAAATTTATTGCAATTAGCTATTTTCACTCTTAAAAGGATTATCTAGTATTCTTTACCTTTTTTACACGAACCATTTTGAAAAGAAATTAAATAATTAAATGTGTTTATATTCCTATAAACTTATAAGCATCATCAGATAAAATAGGACAAATAATTTGAACAACCAATAAAATAAAATAAATAAATAAAGGAACTATGTCAAAAAAAAGAAAATAAATAATTTTTTTCTTGAACTGGTTCTTGATCATACAAATTTAAAAATTTTGTCTATAATCTTTCTGTTTATTCGGATTTGGTGTTCTTTTAATTTTTAAAAAAATTTTGAATTAATAGACTCTTTGTATCTAATTCTATTGCATCTGCTAATATCCAAAACTGAAATATTGATTCAGTTAAAAAATATATTTTTGCTTGGAGCATCAAGATTAATTTATACTGTACATTCAATGTGCATGTGTCTGTCTTGAGTTTTAATGATAATAATAAAAATTTGCAATGAAAAGAAAATTCTTTACTATTATTTAAAGACACAATAAAACATTACTACAGGGGCTGGGATTGTGGCTCAGAGGTAGAGTGCTCTCCTAACATGCCTGAGGCACTGGGTTCAATCCTCAGCACCACATCAAGATATTGTGTCCACCTATAAATTAAAAAAAAATTAAAAAAAAAACATTACTACATAAAAGTTTACATGTTGTGGGAGAATATGAAAAATGATATGCCTCATGTACTGGTTAAATTAGGGACTCATTATTCCAGACATATACACAAATATATATACATACTTATATTTAATATTTGATAATTTTACATTTCTCTAATCATTGTTTGTCAAGCCTTTTTGGTATTTTATTATTAATAAGATCAATCATTGTTGACAAAACAAAATTTATTATGTAGAAACAATTACTGGTATGTTTATGGTTTTCATGTGCATATAAGGGAGAATAGTATAGACTGAAATTTTATGAAAGTGTTATGTTGGAGTGTAAAGAATATAAAAAGTGAATATATGGGGTTAATCCAGTATTAAAATATGCCCTTAATTGAACCAAATGGCTGCAGTCCTTCAGAAAAAAACCAGGATAAAGCATATTTCATCTTTCATTCTAGTGTTAAATTTGAATGTTCCAGGAATAAGAAGAATATTAGAAACATGTTTCACAAAAATCTGATGATATTTTAATATGTCTTTATGATTTCTCTTAGGTTAAATTAAAATGACTGTGAGAGGTGTGTGGTTTGGTTCAGAGCAGAAAAACTAATTTTATTTTTACTCCATCCTTCCTTGAATGAATATGCTCTCAAACTTAGACAACTATGAAATAAACTGAAACATTTAAAAGCAATCAGAAATCAAAAATAGCCATGTATTATGTGCAAAATATAAAAATAATTAAAGAAAATAAATAAGAAAGAAATTTAATGCCAATTAATCATAGAGACTATTTGAGTTATAACCAGTATAATAAGTGATCTTTTTCAAGTTATATTAAAAATGATCATTTTTTAGTTATATTAAATTTTAGTTATACTAAAAAATGAAATTAAATAATTAAAAAAATTATTAAAATCTCATATTTAACATACTTTAAAATGAAATATCTCCATATGCATTCCCCAAAATTATAGTTAGCACAATGACTGAATTTGATCAATTTTCATTGTACGTTATCATTATTTTTAACCTTTAATGCAGTCTAGCATAGATTTAACAGAGATAGGGTTAGTTGGCTAGGTTGCTGACTCCGTGACTGTATACAAGATTGGAAGTTTTTAAATTTTTCTTTAACAAAACACCATTATTTAATACTCCATAATACTTTCAAAAGCATGATTAAGATTCGTTTTGTCAGTATCTTGTTGAGGATTTTGTCTTCATATTATGGAATTTAGCAGTGATTTTTCCCTTTTCTTGTGATGTCTGTTTTTCACATAATTAATACTACCCTTAGAAAATGAATTGGGAAATGTTCCTTTGTATTCTATTTTTTGGAAGAGTTTGTGAAGATTGGTATTAATTGTTTTAATGTTTGGTAGAATTCACAACTGAAGCCCTTTGATTCTGGGCTCTGCTTTGTGGGAAGTTTATTTCATTACTGATTTCTTCCATTTCTTATGAGTCTATTCAGAATTCCTATTTCTTGTTGAATAAGTTTTTGTACTTTGCTTCATTCTAGGAATTTGTGTATTTTTTAAGTTATGTAACTCATTTTGGCATGGAGGTTTTCATAGTATTCTGTTATAATCTTTTTATTATTTGTCAAATAAATATGGTTTCCCTTATTCCATCATTTATTTTACTAATTTGATTCTTCTTTCATTCTTGATCAATCTACATAAATATAAATTTGTTATCTTATTGATCTTTTCAAAGAAACCCCTGATCTTCTTGGTGTTGTATATTATTTTTCTATTGCCTATTTCATTTCTGCACTAACATTTATTTTTTTTTCTGTTATTACTTATTTTCTTCTGTCTGATTGGGTTTAGACTTTTTGTTCTTTTCCTAGTTTCTTAATGTAAAAAGTTAGCTTTATTATTTTTAAATCTTTCTTCTTTATTCATATGTGCATTTATATATATATATTTCACTCTGGACACTGCTTAAACAACATCTCACTTTTTATGTATTTTGAGTTTATTTTTGCTAATCTAAAGGTGCTTTCTATTTTTACTTTTGATTTATTCCTAACTTACTATTTTTTGAGGGTAAGTTCTTTAATTTTCCTTTATTTGTGAATTTCCAAATTTCTTTCTGTATTGACTTTTAATTTCATTCCATTTTAGCCAGAGAATACATTTTGTATTTCTTTAATCATTTCAGTTTGATCAAGGATTATCTCATGGCCTACCATTAGATTTGTAACATAGAATGTTTACAAGAGCAGTATGTTTTCTACTC